TGCCACTCGTTTAACCCAAGAAAAATGGCCAACCCATCGTGAACCTCAGCAAATGGAGCAAGTGCATTTACCCCCTCGTGAACTGCATGGAAAAAATTCAAGACAATGTGAAAACCGTCCAGACACTCGCGGTTGCTTTGTGATGGGATGAAGGATAAGCCGGGCATCCCAGTGAAATTCGTCGCTTTGTAAAGCGCCTGACTGGTATTTCCTGGATTTTACGAGTGCGTCTACGTGTTTGCCCCTCAAATTGACGCCCTCGCTTGGTCGCGTGCCTCCAGTAATTAAGTTTTATCGTGCAATTTTTGTAAAGAAAACATACCCCCTTGAACTCGTTCTCCAGCAGTACGTAATTTTTGCAACAATAAAAATTTCGCGGATTTTTACCCTTTGTAACCTTCAAAATTCGATGAGGCTCGTTGCATCCTCCAAGCTTGAGCCTTGATTCAGTCGTTTCAACTCAGACCGTTAGAAAATTTCTCTTGAAATTTCAAGTGAAAAAGCTTCAAATGTTTAACAACGACAAAGATACATGAAATTTCTGTATATTTCTTCATTAACGAATCAGTTAATTGCTTGAATATTCAAGCAATTCTCGATTATCAGGTCCACGAATCAGGTCACGGTACTGGAAAACCCTGAAAATTTTGGCAATTCAAGCAGCAATTTTTCTGAATTGTCAATCTATTGAAAATTGAATTGTATGTGACACGAAAATCCCTTTTTTTTTAATTTCCAAGATGAATGAGAACGGTTCAGTGAACGCTTTCATTTGTAATATAATTCAACCTCACAACACCAAAAATTCAGATGACGCTGACTGAAATTTTAAAAAATTGCTAATACTGCGTATATTGCGAAAATCGCCTGAAAATTAAGTACCTCGCCACGACCAAGCCGCAAAAATCTCTCGAGAAATGATTATTACAATTCAATTCGCGTTACAACAACTCGCATAACACTCCTTATCACTCAAAATATCGCCCTAAATACCATTCAACAGTTAATAACCGTGAAATATTCAGCTAGTGTTCCCTTATCTCTCCGCAAGATACTAAATCCGTAAGTAAAGAGCTTGAGATCTCTGGGTTACTGTTGTTATGCGCCTCCGAATGAGACACGTTTGAGACACCAGGGCGTGGGCGAGCCCAGGACTCGTTCTCATTATGAATGAGAAAGTCCACGCACGACCCGTCGAGTCACTGGGTGCAGCGTATTTTTTATTTCGACATTAACATCGAAGGTTCAAGAACGAAGAAAAAAAAGTCGTGACAAAAAATTCATTATCGCCCCCCAAAAAAAATCCTCCCAATTCATCAAATTAAATATTTCAATTAGACGAGCCACGAATCCACTCCCATTTCAAGCTCCACTTGACCCAGTAAATTTATTCAATTTAATCTGACATCATGCAATCTCGAAACTCATTAAATTAATTAAATTGGATAATTAGTTGGCGATGTACTGTTCACCTCGGTATTCAATAATGGAATGAAATGTTGGACTAATCCCTCAAGAAGATGACTCTGTGGTCATTCACGAGATGCGCCAGTCGTCATGTGTAAAATGTTTTTCAACGTCTGCACTCCTGCGGTAAATCAAACAGTATTAACCACGTATTTCCTCATTACGTGCACAGTTAACCGGGTGTGGTGTGGTAAAACTTCTGGCATTATGAATATTAAAGGAGCACAGGCATTAGTAAGAGTCATTAAATCGTCTTAACACATGTAGTTTAAGGAGAAATCTGTGACTGGGAATAATGAAGAGGGAGAAGTGCAGTTATCGGAAATGAAAAATCATGAACTGATTTGTCAGAAAATTTCGGAGTTCATCCTATTCCATTCGTTTTAACCCAAATATAATTTGAGAAGTGAAGAGAAAAGGATTGAAAACATGCCATTTAAGTAGTCTCAATGTCAAAATAGCAACTGCATTCTCCATATGGTTTTTCCCCACTGGATACTTTCACCCTAGCAGACAATTATGCTCGAATCTTTTTGGAGCGAATCATAAATTGTTAAGAAAACGGAATAACTATTCTACGGAGAATTCAAGCTCTGAGATGGGCACCAAAAGAGCCAACCAATTGTCCACAATTATCTGTAATTTTTTCTCATTAATTTCTTCTTCGTTCTTAAACCTTTCATGTAAATGTCGAAATAATGTTTAGACGGGTCGTGCGGGGTAAAACTTGTGGCAGTATGAATACTAAAGGAGCACGGCCATTAGCAATAGTCATTAAAGCATCTTAACTCATGTAGTTTGTGGAGAAATCTATGAACGGTAATAGTAACGAGGGAGAGGTGCAGTCGTTGAAAACAAATGAGGAACCTAATTGTGAATATCATGAACTGTTTTAACGGAAAAATCCGGCATTTCCCTTTCGTTTTAACTCGAATATAATCTCCGAAGCGAGAAAGATTAAAAACATGCCATTTAAGTAGTCTCAATGACAACATAGCAACTGCATTCTCCATATCGTTTTTCCCCAGTGGATACCTTCACCCTAGCGGGCAATTATGTTCGGATCCTCTCGAAGTGAATCATAAATTGATAAGAAAACGAGATTATTATTCTACGGAGCAGAGATGCACACCAAAAGAGCCAGCTAATTGTCCACAATTATCAGGAGCTCACGGGGAGGGGAGATTCCAATCCGGTTCGCTCCCTCTATTCCTGACTTCTTTCTGTGACGATGCGAAGGTTAATGCCAAGTGGAACTCGGCCGATTTAAGAATATATGCGTTGGAGCTACTGAAATGGGAGCGTTGAGATCCAACTCGTTCTAAATCCTTCTGTGATTGATTGAGATTTTTTTAAAAATAAATTCCGAAAGGATAAATCGCGCTGGTTTTTATCGGCGAATTGAATAATTTTTCCAATTGTTATTGCATTCGAACGAATATCAATGGCAAATGAATGAGATTGTTTTCTCAATTGATGATTTCCCTTCGGAATGAATAATTCACTGGGGAAAATTTTTTGGGAAGAAAAAAATGGCCATTTACTCCACAAAATGGCGTAGAAAATTGTTGTGAACCTCTGGCCGTAACGCGGACCGAAACTGTTGCACGAGCACGAGAGATATCCGTACAATTGCCAACCTGTTTAATCACGATCGATTGCTACTCAGGATCCTTTGTAAACATTCATCCCGTAAAAATGGATAACACGAATTTACATGATTGCTGGTGGGTCGCATGTAAAAGATATTACCAACTCGATATTTACGCAAATTTCGATTCCCTGAAATTGATAGGTTTGTAGTGCATGACTATTTCACCAGGGGCCTCACAATGTTTTATCAGAACTCGTTTAGTTTATTATTCAGATTTTATCAAATCGGAGTAATCATTCCACCCACACGAATAAATATCTCCACAAAATGAAGATTTTAAATTGTTGACAATGAATTCAGGACGAAATTACGAAGAATTTTAAATTAGTTGAGAATAAAATAATCGATTTATCTGAATTTCTCTGATTTCTAGTGACTTTCGTGGAGGAATTGATCTAAAATTTATAGTTTTCCTAGAACTGTCCCGGTAATTTCCGCCAAAAATTTTCAGCCCCCAAGAAAAAATCATCAAAGTTATTTATATATGAAATATATACGGAATGGATGAATATTATATAAAAAATGAAATTTTGGAATTTCATTATCATTCAAAATTATGAAAATTAAAATTGTGAAATTTTGATATTGTCAAATATATTTTCAATATAATATTCATCTAGCCCGCATGTATTTTGCACATAAATAACCTTCATGATTTTCTCGTGGAATAGTGTACCTATTCCTTCCTCTTTCACTGAATGAATCCATCGGCTAATGTATCCATCGAAAGCATCGATCTTTAACACTCCAGCACGCACGCAATTCCGGCAAATTCTCCATTGATTTTTCCCAGAAAACTCGCGTGCTCAGACACAGCTTTATGTGCTGAAGCTACTTGATGAGGTCGTTCCACTCTGTCTCGAAAATTCGCATTAATGGGCGCCAGTGTGTCTCGAATGATCGATCGAGCACCGAGGGCTTCCCCGCGATCTCCCGTTCCACAAAAATCCAAATAAATCCCGCCCATTGAATTTTCAACGTCAAAGTTCAAGGAGATGCGAGAAATTATTGACCACAAATGTGATGATGCAAAGCGCGCTGTGAGAATTCTGTGACCCAATATGGAAGTGCAACGGTGGTCTGCGTTTATGAATCACTTCTGAACGCGGAATCAACGACAGAACTATAAAAGGTACGGGAGAACAATTCCCAAGTGATTTTCACGAGTCTCCTCAGCTTGTTATCAGCTCAAATAATCAAGACGTGCACAACGCGTGAGGAGAGAATTTGTTCAGCTTTAAAAAACAAAAAGATAAAAAATAACAAAATTTGTCGGAGAATTTTTTCAACGGATTCACCTCGATTCCATTGAAATGTTGCATCCCGTCGACAAATTCACGTCTCCGCATTATCATTACAGCCCGGTATTTCCAATTTTCTCAAGGATTAATGTACCACACGTGAAAGAAGTATCGACAGCCGGCAGCTGAGGAAGAGATAACCCGTTTAACCCTCTTAGGCCCCTAGTTTTAGAATCAACAAGGCAGGAGTTTCCGGCACGCGAGATATACAACGTCACGAATTCCTCGGTGCCACAAATTTCTCGGTCTTCATCCCGAGCGATTCAACTCTATCGATTATAATTCGTAAAAATAAAATTGAGTAAAAAAATGAAATAAAAATAGAATTATTCAACTACGTAATTCTAATCGTTTCAGGCTCTCCCCCGCGTGATTGAAATCATCTAATTAACCTAATTACCACATATTCGATAAGAAAATGACCCACAAGTCTCCCATAATTACCCCAGCGACCATTCAATTACTGAAACAGCCTTAAAAACCTCGTGATAAAAATTCACACCACTTTAATTGATAATTCCCGTAATTAAAACATTAGTCCTGATGAATGAAATGTTCTACATATACCGAGTATTTACCTGGTCTTGAATCTCTGCGTGTCGTCCTGTCCGGCCCACATTCTCCCCGTTACTCGGCCCGAAATAAAAAACCAATAAAGTAAAAAAAAATTATGAACAAAATAAAATTCTTAATCAGTGCAGCAGCTCTCGGATCCTCCAGCCTGAATATCTCAACTTATTCCTCAAAAGTTCACAATACCCTTCCCACCAGACTCTCCTCTGCACCGCGGATGCACGCGATAGGGTCAATAGGTCCTCCCACCGTCCGTTTCACAAGTCCAATTCTTCAGTTAACTTGAGTTTGCCTTTTAAAGGACGAAAAATTGCCGATAATTTGCTTCACCTAAATTCTAATGACTCGTCTTTAACGAGAAAATGATCACTCTCGAATGGACACTGGCTGCTTACGGTGTCTGCCTGATGGAGCAACTGAAGTGCCAGTGCCACCAGAAAGATCGTTTTCTCGTGTCGCGTGGTCCCCCAAGTATCTGCCGGGGTTCCGACACGTTTGCACGCCCCGAATGTGTACGTATGCATGTATCGGTTTACTGTCGTGTGTTTTAAACTTTCGTTCTTGGTGCGAGTTTGCCTTCAGAGTTGACGGACACTGGCGGGAGATACGAATTTAGGGATAAACAATTTAATTGTCTCAACGGTTTCGTTGGTGAATGACAGTTTTACGGATATCCAAGTATTTTGGACTTTTTGGGCCCCGATTGACCCTCAATTTCCGGAGATTTTAGAATGGTTTTATTATTTATTATTTTTAATCTAATTTTAATATTTTATTTTATGCTTCCGGAGATTTCACAATGATTTTATAATTTGATTATTTTATTATTTTATTATTTGAAAAAAATTAGAACGTTCACTTTGGAGGAAGACTGATGAAATAATTTAAAAAGTGCAATTTTTGAAAATTAATTTATAGACAATCAATTTTCCCCCCTAAAAATCATCAACTTGAAAATTGCTGCCATTTTGTTTCTAAATATTCATGCTCCACTGATAATTCAATCACTCAAGTTGTGAAATGTCCATCTCACTTGGAATTTCATAACCATTTTTTTTCTAAATTCGATTCAATGACACTCTCATGAGATTTACTACAAAATCCTCCATGAAATGAAAGATGTTTGAACATCCTTAATGAGGATAATTTCATAATCTGTCATATCCCAACTATTACCTCTTGGTTTTGCCTACAACTCGGAAAATCATCGAAATAAAAATTTCATTTGCAGAACAACTGAGTCAACATAGTCTTGATCACCGAATTATTCCCATTCCCCGGATTATCTTCTCAGGGACAAGACCTACCGCAACAGTTCTCACAATTTCCAAGAATTCATCCGTAATTTAACATTATCTCCTCAGCGATGATTTTTCAACCACTTGAGTTCTATCATTTCACAGCAGATATTTATATTATGTATTTTCTTCCAAGAAGAAATTTACTGACCGAGACACTTGAACTGCTAGAATAACGGTATTCCCAACTTTTGTGGAAAAATGAGTAAATAAAAAAATAATGTAATGCAGACGATGGTTAGAAATAATAGAAAATTCCCCCGTTTTTTCCTCTTTATTTCATTCTCTGTTCTCGTGGCTGTGCGTAGGCAGATGTCTGGTGTGGGTGGGTTTGGCAGGTCAGACGGGAAGTGCAATCGTATTGGTTATCTTTACAGGAGCTTTGTCATGGGCTGTTGGGTAACCTCGATCGGGCGTTATATTCCTTGTAATAACAAACAGTTCTGAGAGCAACGATAAGGCGTGCACGTCTCCAGTGCATGTCGGTATCTTTTGACGATTGGAATTTCAAAGTTAAAAAAGTCGTGACTCCAGGCACAATCGAATAATGCGAAGGAGTTAAAGCTATATTTCCTTGCACTTCTGGCATTTTTTTTTGTCTTTGCATCGAAGAATTGAAGTCACGTGTCAATAAAAAATCCGCATGTTAATTTATCGATGCATCATGATTTTTCAAGAGGCTCTACACTGTTAAAAATTATCGGCTAAACTTTTAATGCCAAATTCCGGAATAATCCAATATTCCATTGATTTTGTGTTCAAATGATCTGGAAATCAATAAAATAGTTGATTTTTCAGTTCAATTATTCTGTGAAAATTCCGAAAAATCCGGAAAATTCACGGAAAAATTGAAAATTCAGGTAATTTTGTTTCTGAATATTCACGTTCCACTGCAAACTCGATCAAATTGTGAAGGGATTTACTATAATATCTTCCACGAATTAAAAAAAAAATTCTAACAATCTATGGATCTTCCCAGAGCCGATGTTTCCACTTGTGAGTAAATTTTTTTATAAAACGAAAGTGTAATGATGGGAACAAAGAACGACTGCGGTTGAATGATAACAATGCAACTCGTTTGGTGTATTCGTTCGGCATCAGGGGCAACTCCCACTGATTCCAATTACCTCTTCATGCCCTCAAATCAGTTTCATTGTGTTTTTCGAAATTCCGCTATTTTATTCAAATTTAAAAATCGATGTCGCTTTGCTCCCTCCGTCGAAATTTTGGGGGAGAGTAATCCCTGAGAAGTCTCATGCCACGAAAACCCCAACGGAAGTTGCGCAATCGCCCACTGCGCATGAACGGCGCTATATCATATCAATATTATTCCCTTCAATTTAATGACACATTTTTTCCCGTAAAACCGAACAGAGGAAGTATTTGACGTGTTATCGCCATCGGATACCATAAATGCATCCCGGAAATCGAGGTCAGGGATTTTTCTATTTGAGAAATGAATAAAATAGATATTCCAAGGGAAATAACCGTAAAAAGGAAAAAATTTCCTTGAGAAAAGAGTCAAGACCATTTCCACAGAATACGGGGGGAGTCGTTTGTACAATCTCAGATTGACACATTCCCCGTGAAAAAATCCAAGATATGACACTTTGGCCTCAGGTGAAACACATTTTTTTTCATTTTTGACTTCTTCCAAATACTTTTGAGTGTTCTGGCGAAAGTCGACTTTCTCCCGGAAAAAATCCAAGGTCTGACACTTTAGCCCCAGGTAAAAAAAAATGTTTTATTTTTGACTTTTTCCGAATACTTTTGAGAGTTCTGGATAGCACCAAAATACCACCCATTCTCTCCCAGATTTCAATTTAATCCGGCAGACGATGAGTCAGCCCATGAGTCTGGTAATTCTCGTATTGCCCCTGGCATTCATACGAGTGGGAAATATTTACAGTCGTACTTGATGGGATGTCCAGTTTGTCTAGTAATCTAGAATCCTGCAAACTCGGATGATTATTGTGGGGCGGGGGCCATTCGGGCTCATTAAAACGGTGGTTTAAGGCCAATCAATTTTTTATCATTCCCTCATTCAATAATCTGTGCAATTTTATTTCGCTGGCCCCAAGTTACCGAAAACTTCGCACTGAGGGGGCAAAATCGACTGACTTTGAACGTAAATATCTTCTGGACCAATGACGCAATTTGGATGACTCACATCTCATTTTGAAGCTCAAACAAATACCTTGAAAATCGGGGGATTTCACTCTACCGTTCTCGAGTTATTCGCAATTACATGAGAACGCTGGACATCTCCAAATTCATTCAAACAAAATCGTCTTTTTCATTCATTTCGTCTTCTCTCTTTTAAATGCCCGTGAATCCCCTGACCCTTCCTTACATTTAACCGTTAATAAAAACGTCACATAATTTGCTCATCGGAACTAGTGCCCCATAAATAACGACTGAATCGAAAGACAAGAAAACCGAAAAACCAAACAACTGTATCACCCCGTGTACACACGAGATTTATTTCATCCCGGTACATATCCAATTCCACGATAAATCGAGATAAGAATGGTGACTTTGACGTTGGAGATCGGGTTTTACCTCTCGGGGGAACAAATTTTTCCGTCATAATTCTTGCATTTTTTTTTCTATCGCGTCTCGTGCACAACTGCGATGAAAAATAAAGGACTGGACGTTGTGGGGCGCCGAACGTGGACAGTAGCGTGAACGACATATTCTCACACATAACTTGAACTGGAAATCACTCGAGCGAATCATTATGGGACGTGAGTAACTCGTGTCTCGAGGCATACGCGTATAACCCCGTTAATGGGGGGCAATAAATCATTAGTAAAAGGTGTGTATCACAATTTTCTGGGGGAACTGCTCCGACGACACGATAAAATCACTTTTCGGAAGTCTTTGTGGGTATTTGAGGCTTTTGTTGAGATTTTGACTTTCGGATTTGTGGGGGCAATGTCATCATCAGGTTTGATGGTAATCTGTGGTTTCTTTGGGGAGGAGGAACGGAGGTAGAGCCCAGGCAGATCATTATTCCGATAAAATACGAACACTGGACTATTATTATTGGGTCATGATCATTTGGAAAAGTAATTGTATTTTTTTTTTTGAGTAAGCTTGAATTATGTGAAACAATTTGGAGAAATATATCACTATACCCTATATTTTTAAAACTTATCATTTTCTTAAGGACTGAAACCCTCTTATTGAAATAAATAAATGAGTTTATGGATTTTTTGAAAAACAATTGTTGAAATAAGTGGGAAATTTTTGAGTAAAGAATTTTATTTGATTTCTTCACATTTAGGCGAAAAATCCCTAACGTTTAAACTTTTTTTATGTTAAATTATTCAATTTAAATTTTGTTAAAATATTTATTCAGGCAATAATGCTTCATTTGAATCAAATAAATCGTTTATTTGACTCTAATAGAAGATTTATTTTGAATTTCTGAATTTAAAAAATTTATTGAAGTAAATAAAAACTTTTTAAATAGTTTTATTCGACTCCTCCAGACGCATGAAAAAAATTCCTCCTTTAAAAAACCGATGAAGAACTAATTGTCATAATCCGATTAAATACAACTCTCGGCGCAATCTATTGGCGAGGCCTGGAATCAGAACCTCGCCGAATAAAACCGACAGTGAGTCAAGCTACAAATCCCTCGAAAAACCTTCCCCCAGGTGAACAATCGCTTAGTAACACCCACTCGCCAGATATTTGACAAACACGAGCTAGCTGTCTCGCCTGCTTCATCGATTTCCCCCTCGTGCCAAACCCACTCATGTAGTTACATCGTCTGGACAATCACCCCCCCTGTTTTCCACAAAATGGACAATCCCTCTCCCTTTGTTCACGCATTTCACCCCCTGGCAAGTCGCGTGTCACTAAAATAACTTATTCATCAGTTTGGAACGTCGAACCTTCGGTTGCGAATCGAGCCAAGGCCAAGTGCATCTAGAAATAAATTCGCGTTTCTATACTAGAGGTTGATGCCCTTTCAATTCGTTGGAAATTGTTAAAACCTCTCAAATTAAATTTTACAAATATTTTTCCGTAAAATTCTGTCAAAATTTGGCAAAGAAATTTAAGAAATAAAATAAAACGAAACTGAAAATTCAAAGAAATATTATAAATATTGATGACAATGCCCCAAAATAATGATAATAATAGAGAGCAAATAATATGACATGAAAA